GGCCTTCGGTTTCAAGGGGGACTGACCCGACGACCCCCAGCTCTGGGGGCCAATCCAGACTGGTCAGGGCCAATCAGCCCCCAGCAGTCCTCTGATCCCCTTTAATGGTCCAGAGGCCACAGCTGAACAGATTTAGAGGCAGGACCTTGGTTGGGAGACAGGCTCTCTCCCTCTCACAGGTCCCTTTTCCTCACTAACGGTGGACAAAGAAGTACGATAACCCCAGTTGCCACTGGCAGTCATGAGGAGACCCAACTTGAAAAACAGCGGATACACAGGGGCTCGGGCACCACAGGGCACCTCGTTACGAGATAATACAGTTCCTCTCTGACAGGAGGGGCAGGGTCATTGTCAACAGCAGGGGTTCTGGAGCCAAACTGCCTAGGTCTGAATCTGGCTCTGACACTGAGTGGTCATCTGGCCTTGTGCAAGTTACTTCAGTGTGTAACCTGGGGATGGTAACAGTTCCAACAGCATAGGGTTCTTGTGAAGATTAAATACATCTATACCCATACACATGCAGGTGTCTGTGTGTATAAACACACACACATACATATATCAAGCACTTAAAACAGTGCCTAGCACACAGTAAACATATGTAAGTGCCAGCTGGCACTGCCTGAGCCAGGACTTCTGTGACTGGCGCTGAAAGGCAGCCTGACTGATAGGGCAGAAAGGACAGAGTAAGTGCGGGAGGGCTTCTCTGGGGCACAGAGTGCCAAGCTGGGCTCCGGAAAAGTGGGATGAAAGTGGAACACATCACATCAACTGTGTCTCCCAAAAAGGAGATAAACTCCACTTCCTAAAAACCGCAGGAAGAACATGTCCAGTGAAGTCAATTACAGGAAGAAAGCACGTTAGAAAACCGTTGCATGGTGACAGAGATGGGGGGAGGCGGAGGGGCTCTTGAGTAAGGAGGCACCTCGATGGCGTCAGCAGGAAGCCCACGCTGGGCCTGCACACAGAGACACAGGGCGAGGCGCAGTCAGAGTCCACGGGAAGACCACTGCGAGCTCATCTCGGCAGTGGGGACAGGCCACGCTCAAGGACAGGATGACATCTGGTTTCCCATCACACCCGCACCTGCTAACCAACACATAGCGTCCAGGTCTAATTTTAGACTCAGCAGCCGTGACAGCTGTTTTTTTTCTTTTAAACAAATTGTCCATATTTCATCTCTGGGTGCCGTGGCTAGCCATTACTCTCACGTTCCCTGGCAAAGGAGGGAATGAAAATAATCATGTGTCCTTTCTTTGCCATCCCCCCAAGATTACCTCACTCAGACACCTGCCTGAAGTGCCTTTCTAAATCCATGTCAAGAGCTAAGAAAATATGTTTCCTAGAGTCCGGCTCACAGCTTGCATCACATCATCCCTTGCTCAGAAACCTTCGTGTAGCTACATGGTGCTAAAAAGACAAAACCCACCATTCATACGTAACCTGGGATCCAAAGCACCCTGCAGTTTCCTATAAACCCATTCCTTAGAAAAGTCCCTATTGCTACCAGCCTCTTTGCTCAGGTATCAAGTCCATGACAACCGGATTCACATCTTGGCAACTCATTGACTCTATCACCTTGAGCAAGTTATTCAACCTAAGCTTCAAAACACTGCCGGTGAAGAATCTGGCTTTGACCTTGACAGAGCAAGTGTCAATAAATATTGGCCTACTGTGTCAGGAATCTGAAAGAGAGTGTGTTGGAGAGGACAAGAATATAACAAACCAAATAAAAAAGGAAAGTATAATCGGTCACATCTTTCTATAGAGGAATCTAGAAATATGTATGAAAAGATAAAATGCACATAACCTTTGACCCAGAAATCCCATTTTGCTCCATCTACTTTAAAAGGTCATTGAGTACATGGGGAAATGTGTAATCATGGGGATTTCATCACAGCATTGCTTGTAATAGCCAAAAACCTAAATGCCTATTAGAAATGAGCCAAGAAAATCACGCGCACTATTGCTAGGTGATGACAATTATTTCTTCGTTTTCCAGAGCTGTTTAATATATTGTACAAGATGCATGTATCATTTTTTCCAGAATAAGAGTGACAATTTAAAAAATAAGATTTTAAAAAATATACGAAGGAAAAGAATCCTGAAGGATGTCTTCCCTACCTAGCCTTTGAGAGCCAATTATTTTATATCTCACTGATGAAGGTTTGGTTCAGCTTTTCAGGCTAGCCAATGGCCAGGATAACTGACAAAATTGAGGCTGAAACAAAGTACATGAAATGAAAGACTTTTGTGTTTTTGTGTCTCATAAAATGAGACAATTCTGTCCTTTTACTTCTATATACAAAAAAAAAAAAGGCTCTATTCGCTGGCTATGCTTACTCCCAAATATCTAAGCTCTATGTGAGGTTCTTGTCAGCAGGGAGACTGAGAAAAAAAAAAACAACTAATGCACTGTTCAAAGCAAACCCAACAGATGCGATTAAGACGTGCCATTCACACCCATTCAGTGCACGGCATTCTGGAACTATCATGGCATATCTGGAATTGTGGGGAGCAGTAGTGATTTGGACAAGGGACAGAGCTTTAGAATGGATTTAAGATTTTTGGGTTTTAGTTATTTGGATTTGAGGGTCTTAATGTTTCCATTAAAATGATAGGAACACAATTTTAAAAAATTTCAAACCATACAGGACAATACCAAAAAATGCAGTAAATGACCCTCTGAAGTCACAGTTCACAGTAACAATCACCATTCACATTTGGGGCTTGTTATATTTTGTTTCTATTTTTAAGCCTATCTCAAAATAACTAATCACTTCTCATTCATTATATTGGCAAAATTGAAAAATATGTTAATATTAAGTGCTGGCAATATTGTAGGGAGATAAATGCTCAGGTACCACTGATGAGAGTATAAATTAATGTATTAACACATTGGAGGAAATTTGACAGAATTTGTGTCAACTAAAAATGTGTGTGCCCTGAGGACACACCATACAGCCTTCTTTTACTGAGCTGTAACTCACATACCATAAAACTCACCCAGTGGTTCTAGTTTATTCACAGAATTGTACAACCACCACCATTAGTTCCAGAACATTTCATCACCCAAAAAGAAACTCCATACCCATTCAAAGTCATCCCCTACTCTCCTTGCCCCCTTGCCCAGAGTAGGAATCTACTTTCTACCCCTATGCCTGTTCTGGACATTTCAGACAAAATGACTCATAAAATATCTGGACATTTGTAACTGGCTTCTTTTACTTGGCATGATGTTTTCAAGTTTCATCCATGTTGTAACATGAATCATTGCTCCATTTCCTTTTATGGCTGAATAACATTCCATTGTATGGGCGTACCACATTTGTTCATATTTCACCAATTGATGGACATCTGGCTTGTTTCCCTATTCTTCCTATGATGAGTAACGGTGCTATGCCAAGTTTTTCCGTGGACACGTTTTCAACACAGTGTAGAAAGGCTGGGCCAATGATAACTCTCTGTTTAACTTTTGAGGCACTGACAAACTGTTCTCTTACAGAAGCTGCACTTTCCTGGCAGTATATGTGGGTTCGTTTGTCCACATCCTCTCCATCACTTGTTACTGTGTGTCTTTCAGTACAGCCACCCTAGCACGTTTGAAGTGGTATCTCATTGTGGTTTTCGTTTGCATCTTCCTATGACTAGTGACGTTGAGCATATTTTCAGACGCTTATTGGCCATCTGTATAGGTTTTTGGAAAATACCTACTCAAAATTTTGCCCATCTTTTCACTGGGTTGTCTTTTTTATTATTAAGTTGTGACAGTGATATGACAGATACTAGACCCTAATCTGATATAAACTTTGCAAATATTTTCTCCCATTCTCTGGACTGCTGTTTTCATCTTCTTGACAGTATCGTTTGAAGCACAAAAGTGTTCAATTTGATGCAATCAGTTTTACCTATGTTTGTTTTGTTGTTTGGGCTTTTTGGTGTCATATCTAAGAAACCACTGTCTAATCTAAGATTACAAAGATTCACACCTATGTTTTCTCCTAAGAGTTGTACAGTCTTAACTCTTACATGTAGGTCTTTGACCTATTTTGACTTAACTTTGTATCTGGTGTGAGGCAGACGTCCAACTTCATTCTTTCATTTGTGAATATTTAATTGTGCCAGCACCATTTGTTGAAAAAATATTCTTTCCCCATTGAATTGTCTTGACATATAACTTTTAAAAATATACCTCCAATGAGCTTGATTATGGCAGTGATTACACATCTGTATAGATCTTTGTCAAAACTCATAGAACTATACACTAAGAAGAATAAATTTTATTATATGTAAATAATACCTCAATAAAACTGAGAGTTCAAAATTCTACTTCAGAGAAACATTCATACAGCACTTACAAGGATCACATGCCTGACCAATACTGCAGAGTTGTTTGTAATAAAAAGAAACTGAAAACCACCAGAACATTTGTCAAAAAGAAAAAAGCTAAATAGAATATGTATGATTAAAAGGTTGAAGTTGATGCAGCAGTTCAAAGGAATATGCTATATTTTATACATATAATGGATAAAGTTTAGAAATGTTCTATTAAACAAAAAAGGTAAAGGCACAATGATTCACAAAGAATGAAAGTATGTATGTATAAAATCATATACAAAACCACAGTATACAGGCTCTGTGGGTACACATGTAAGTACCTAAAAGTATCTTTTAAAAGTCTAGAACAATACTGAGCACGGTAATATCCCTCGTTGCCTCTGGAGAAGGCAAAAGACATCAGGATGTAATAGGGTGGCCAGAAAGGCATTGAGTGCTATCATTTTCCCTCCAAAGGGAAATCTATTCATTAGTTACTCGTGTGATTAAACATTCATAATGTGCAATTTATGTGAGTTGTAAACAGAGGTTAAAAGGATGAAATCACAGCTTTTTAATACATGTGTGCATTTGTGCATCCCTGCACCCCCCCTACGTGTACACACACATCTTCACACACACACACACACACACACACACACACACACACACAGAGGTGACCTTACCAATTTGGATTCTCCACACTTTCCCGAAAGACAGACTCTTCCTTCATGGATGCATACTGGGCCCACGTAAGGCAGTGACTCTGTATAGCCATGTTTCTCTCCTGAGGATTGAGCCACGACTCCTCTTCTAACTGGATGTCGGGCACCTTTAAAATGCTCACCTGTCCAACAGAGGAAGGAGGGCTTTCTCAGTTTAGGAAGAGCAGGCTACGTGAGGGTTGTGCCCAGAAGCACTTCCGGTCTTGGATAATTAAGAGGACAAGTGATCCTGATACATGGATGAAGGTTCACCAATGGCTCTAAGTCCTTCAAAATCAAGCATGCTGCGACCTTACTAAATGCTGGTGAGGACGTGCAGACAGCCCAGGATTTATGCAGGCTGCACAGTCCCTAGCCTGAGCTCCCTAGCTGCTAAACACTAAGCAAATTACAGCCTCCTCCAGGTCTCCTCTAGGGCCGGTTATGGCCTTCTTAAATTGATGGATTCTAATTGGGCCCACTTACGGGCTCACGTGCAGGCTGATAGCAGGTAAAATATTTTCTTCATTTTAAACCCTGTTCAATACCTCGAAATGTATGCTCTCCTAGGTGGAAGAGACATGGAAAACAACAAAGGCAGAACTGTAGAAGTCAGAGGTGTCCTTAAATTATTTAAGAATTGAGATACAACACAAAGTGGAATGCCTTTCTAAATAATAGATTCAAGGCATATATATAGAGCAAAGCAGGCAGGGTACACACTCCGTGGAAAACGCCCAGAATAATTTGCTGCCCATATTGCAACACATTTTACCATCTGAACAATAAAAGAAAGTTCCTTTCCACTGTCCTATCACCTTTCTTTCCACACAACCATGTGGCAGCATCTTAGTTCGTGATAAGGAAGTGACAGAAGAAGCTGACACTTATTCTACATACAGCTCAGCGATGTAATTTGCAAGGTAATAGGCAGGAGCCCCACTGGGTCCCACAGCACAGGTAGAATCACTTCCGGATTGAAACGCTCATCTGAGACATTTTTAAAAGTGTAAATCAGGATGGTCTCCTCTTACTTCCTAATGATTCTGAGCAACATGATTAAAAATTTCCACTTACCTTTTCCTCAACAATCACCAGGTGTGCTGAAGGATTCCAAAGAGAGAAAACAATTTGCCATTGTGAAGATTTAGTGAGCAATGCCATCACTTTGCAAAAACATACACAAAAGGGCTTACAGAGAGCACTGAGGACATTATACTCTCCGAAATAATGGTTCTCTGACAGGGAAATAAAAAGGGAGCTTTAATCTCCCTTACTAAAGATCTCACTAAATATTTACCATCTGATCCTTCTTACCTAAGGGTCATATCTAACCACGGACAGATAGGGAAAGATGGTCACTTCGCATAAAATGTCCAAGGCATCTTTAAAATAATTGCAGACCAGCTCTACGTCCTCTAAGGGCCTTCCAGAAAAGAGAGAGACCTGGGAACTGAGGGAAAAGCTCTCTCTGGGGGCAGCAGCCAGAACCGAGGGTGGAAATGAAGGGCCTTCTTCCTCTGAAGGGCCGTGAGGTAGGCGAACCGGGAAAGTTGGAGCACCCCTTTCCATCAGAGAATGCTCTTTCCATGACTACTGGAAAACTACCCAATGTTACACCAAAGCTGGTAAAATTTTGAAATGAATTTACCTTCCTTAAAATTTCTGGAACCACATTTCGACAGATTGCTATCCTCTTTCTATAGATGACTCCTGTTGATACATCTAGAAACAGAAAAATTTTACACTCAAAGAAACGTTTAAGGAAATGTACTCTTAGTCTCAAGACCAATAAAACTTTTAATGTCAACCTCAATTTTCTAGAGGTAGAAATCCTAAAGAAAATGTTTAACTCAACACTTAGTGTCTCTGACCACTTTTCTGGGCCAGCTCACTCCAAACACACTCATCTGTGATCAAGGAATACATGCATGACAGCCACTCACAAGTGCACATTCTCAAGTCAACGATGAAAGAATCACAAATTGGTCACTGCTATGCATGCCAATGACAATGGCCAATGAGCCCCCTGCTCAACTCACACACAGAGAATGTTTTAACGAGAGAGGGAGGGAGAGAGAGAGAGAGAGAGAGAGAGAGAGCGAGCGAGCGCCAGGTTCTGCCACCGTCTGAACCAAACATGTTTTCAAGCCCAGACTTCTGGATACAAAATTTAAACTTACAATTAATTATATTAAGCATACATTTTTCTCACAGGCTCCCTGTGACTGGAATTACTCTGTTTTGGAAGGAAGTTTCCAGAATAGCACCAGGGATGTAAAAAAATCAGTAAATGTGAGTTATGAGAAAGGGAGACCATGTAAGAGAAAAAGACAAACTTCGAAGTGCTTCCGTTTGCTCTGGGAGTGACTGTGACTCGGCCACACCCTGCGAGGTTTCCCGCAGCTCTGGCTCTAGGATCCCTGGGTCTCGGTGCAAACGAGCTTCTGACTGTTCCGAGCTTCTGACTGTTCCGAGCTGCTGACAGGGTGAGAAACTGGTTCGTCTTCTCTGCCACCCGGCACCCCTTTGGCCGTCTCATCCAGCGTTTGCGGCACACGTCCTGAAAGTGGACGAGCTGCTCCTGGCAGCCAAGATGCCCTTGTACTGGTAGCAATCCTAATTAGCGTTCCTATACCACTCTGGCATGTGTCCACTGTTCTCTCATTTGATCTTCACAACCATCGAAAAGCAGGTTTATTACCTGCCCATTTAACTGATGAAGAAATTGAGGCTGCAAGAAGTTAGATTATATAAATAGTAACAAAATCAGGACTCAAAATCAGATTTCTCTGATGCCAAATAACAAGTTCCTCCCACACTGAGTGCAGGTACCTGAGAAAATGTTTTTTTTAATATATTTGTAAGAGTTATAGACGTGCAGTAAATAACCTCACAAGCAAAAGACAGTGTCCTGTTCACCAAGCACAGACAAGGCCTCAGAGTCACACAATGAACAGTAGCTTCTCACATGTCTCCTCAGGAGACTCAGGAACACGTTCGACCACAGTCTGGGGGTCTCCAAAGGTTCAGACATTGATTATGTTCGTCATTACAGGGCCCTGCACGGCCCAGTTCTCAAGTTCAAATACAGAACGTGAAACCGCTTCTGCAGGAAATGTGAGTGACAGGGAACAGTTAAGATTCCCTTACTCTAGTCCAGGGGTCACTAAACATTTTCTGCAAAGGGCCAGAGGGTAAATGGTTTAGGGTTTGTGAGCCATGTAGTCTCTGTTGCAACAACTCAACTCTGCTGTTGCCACAAGGAAGCAGCCATCGATACAATCTAAACAAACAGGCATAGCTGAGTGCCAATAAAACTTTATTTACAGTAGCAGGCCACACAAGCATAATCTGTCAACCCAATCTATCAACCCCTGCTCTAGTCAATAATGAACCATATTAAGCACAGATGTGACTCCACACTCTAATCACTTTACAATCATATCTCACATACATGCTATTTATTAATCATATCCATTTGCCATCTATAAAATGATATATGATAGCAGGATCTAACCATGCAACCTTGGGCGAGTTCTTTCTGCCTCTGTCCTGGTTTCTTTGTTCATTAAATAGGAGTAATAATAATACCTACCCCATACACTCTTCTGAAGATTACGTGAGTTAATAAAAGAAAATGTGCCTGCCATTTAGTAAGTGCTCAAAAATGTTAGCTGTTAAAACTGTCATCAATGGTTAACTGAGACAGGGACAAGAGCATAGTAGGCAAGTCTTCTCTTGCTGTTACTGCTGGCGCTCTTTTCCACCAGTGACCTCAAACACAGAGACACACCTGCTTAACACATAGCAGCCCGCACACACACAAACACACATCTTTACAAAAATCAGCGTCACTGAATGATCGCCACTGAAGGGAGGTCGATGCAGAGAACTTACCTCGTCTTTCCTCCACAGTTCTGACAGAGATGACGTTTTTATCCATGGGGTTGGGGTACTGAAAGGGAGCACATAAAGAAGAATCACCACCCACCTTTTACCACAGCGAGTTATTTCACAGTAACCTCAGTGATGTGAGGAACAGGAAACATTTTCCCAGTGATGTCTAAGTCCACTTTCTTACCAAGGGTCTTGAGTTCACTGTTTCGACCTCAGTAAGTGAGGTGCTCTCATCAGCTGGGCCTTAAGAAAATCTGGGAAGAACCTTCCTCAGGTCCAACCTAGCCCATGATACAGAGGGGGAGGTTAAGTTAAACGAGTCAATAAATAATATTGTTAATATTGAACCAGCCTAATTCAACCAAGAGTGTTCTTTTGTGCCAGGCACTGCGCTCAGTGCTTTACTTGCACAATCTTGTTTAAATCTCTTAACAGCCCCTCCTTGTGACGGGGTTGTGTGATGTCACTGTCCCACCTTTCAGAAATGGAACCTGAACGAAGCTCAGAGAGCTCAGGCTCACCCAGCTAGGGGGTGGGAGAGCCGGGACATTAAACCAGGCCTGATGCAGAGGGAGTTCCTTCACTACTATCCTGAACCACTGCCAGCAGCTGGGTTAGCATCACAGGAGTATGATGGCAGTGCCCTCGTAGTCTATGCCAGGTCCTCAATAAAGAGCCCATTTATTGACCAAATTCCCCTGAGAGACAGCTTGGATATAAGGCTGCTGAAAGTTTCCATTTTTGTCCCAGGCAGTTTATATACATCATTTCAGTTTAATTCTCAAAAGTATCCCATGAGCTATATGCTGTTTTTTTCCCTTTCACATGTGAGAAGTAAGGCTCAGATAAAGTAAATAATTTGCTCAAAACCAGCCAGCTAATGAGCGCCGGGACTGTAATTTACTCACAGACACTCTCTGTTGCCGTCAAAGCCTGCCCACCCAGCCCACACTCCAACCACCAGGTTACTCAGACCCAACGCTTTCCACTGCCCAGATGCAAAACGGAGACTGAGAGAACAGAAGGGACTTCCCCAAAGCCACCAGACAGAGCGGCCGCTGACTCAGGCCTACTGAGTTCCCCTTGGGATCTTTTCCCCAGAGGTTTACTGCTTGACCGCGAGATCAAATCTGGAAATTACAGGAAGTCATGTCCAAGGTGCTAAGGGGAGGTGAGAGCAGCCACCTTGAACTGTAAATTTTCTGAACCCCAGGAAACAGTATGCAAAACTCGGTGAGTCTCCCCAACCCTGCACAGCTGCATGCGTGCCTGTGTGTGTGCACACACAAGAGGTTGACTGACTGACTGACTGTTGAGGTTGACTGACTGACTGTTTGATTGTCAGAGAAAGGAGTCCTTCACTTTCACATATTCCTAAAGACATCTGAGGCCCCCAAGGACACTGGATTAGACCAGAGGCTCTATGAGAGCAGGAATATCATCTATTTAAGTCACTCCTGTAGCTCCACTACCGAGCACAGTGTCTGGCACATAGCAGGCCCTCAATAAATACTCGCTGAGTGAAGGAATGAGTTGGAAGATAAACCTCGCTGAACTCAGGGAACAGTTTGGAAAATAAACCTTACTCTTATTTGGGACCAATCTGTAAAGACCAGCCTTAGTCCTCAGCAGCCTCGCAGCTCATCATGCCCCCTGCCACAAACTGCCACTCACACTTCCATCCTGGCAACTGCAGTCTTGATGACCAGCCAAAAACATGGCTCTTGAAATATGCATTCATTTGTTCATTTTTACCCCAGAAAGGAAATGCTCCAAACTATGATGAGTGCTTTTATCAAGTTTAGCCTTCAGTATCTCTTGAAGTTAATATCCATCCTGGACAGCCAGGTTTGGCTATTCTGTTCCTGGGCAAGGGGCCTCCCTCACAAACATGAGGGATGAAAAACTGCATCCCCCATGAAACAAAGGTGGTACGTCCTCATAGAAAAGATGGCAGCAGGGTGACTACCAGACGGAAAGGTGGGGTGAGGGGAGGGAGAGGAGGGTGTGGGGGATACAGGGTGACGGAAGGAGACTTGACTTGAGATGGTGAACACACAATACAACATACAAATGATGCATCACAGAATCCTACCCCCCAAACCTATATGATTTTATTAATCAATGTCACCCCAATAAATTCAATTTTTAAAAAAACTTTAAAAATATTTAAAACTCACACAGATGCCCTGAATTGTGTGTGTGTTGTGTATAAACCAGAACTTTCACACTAAGGTAAAATAAGAGTACTTCCTTGACTACAGTCCTCGTTCACTCAGTTCACACTCATCAACACATCCTGACTGAATATCGTAAACACGATGTCAGTGGTAGAAAGATGACCCAGCTAACCTCCGAAAGAGGCTGGGCCCAGAATCACCAGAGAAGGACAGTGATCAAAGTTTTCAGTTATCACTTTGTTATCTGTTAAATTCCTAGAGAGTACAGTTAACTCGGAAACTCACACTTTTACATAATTGTTGTATTTACTTATTATTAAGTCAAACAGTGTCAGTTTAAATAACAGTAAAAACTCTCTATTTTTCATTCAATTTTTTTTTTCAGTAACTCCCATGCTAGGCACTGTTCCAGGCACCAAGAACATAGTGAGAAAACAAAGTTGGAGCCACTTAAAGAGCATACGTGTTGGTTTGGGAAATGTCTTATATGTATGTTCCCCAAACTAATATAATCAGGAGAAAATAAATCACACTAAGGGATAATAGGGGGATGAAAAATTGTGAGACCACTGTAAAATAAATACTCAGGGGCCACCCATTGGACAATGCTTGGAAATAAAAAATAAAATAAAATGAAAGTTGTATTAGCCAAACACAAAAAACCCTGAACAATTCACTCTAAAAAAGTCATCTGCAAGATTCAAGTCATTTTCCTATGCAAGTACTTTTGGAGTTGGACGGATATGAGCCGAAAGTTTCCACAGGAGAATGGGAAAAGGAATTAGAGGTTTGTTTCCAAAAGCTAAATACCATGACATAAAAGGAGTGTGTTTGAAGTTTTTAAAATGTAAGGATTTATTGTGCTGAGGCTCCCCCTACCTGGCATTACTGGAAACGATGTGACATCATCTTGTGCTAACCTGAATATTCATGATTTAATTCGCAAAAACTGAAGTCAGAGAATCAGGAGTGCGGGAAAGCTGCTCAGAGACAGTCGCCACCAGTAACGACGATTTGCAGAAGCAGGAAGCAGGTGACGGGGTTTTCCTGGACACCTTTCCAAAGTGTGACCGTGGGATGGATCCAGCTGGGTCAGGAGCAGCCCACTGAGGACTTGAGCACCTACTGTGCCCGTGCAGGGTGCTGCATTACAGGCTGCCGTGTGTATTCTCCCACTGAGCCCTCTCCAAATGAGCAAGCCTATTAACAAGGGTCGAGATAAGGGGTCCCTGTGTTAAAAACATGATGGCGTAAAGCCTGCATGCAAGCAAGGTCCGGCTGGGACTTTCCAGTCCCCACTCTGCACTAGAAACTCTTGTGAAAGTGGTCTGATGACCCAGATACCTTCCAAAACCCTTGCCACCCTTGGACTTGGCTCAATGGACCACGAACTGCAGTGGCATAAGAATTACTGCGGGGCACTGTGCACAGTCTTCATGCAGCCATATTTTCTGGGTGACTCGGGATTTTTTAAGGTATATGTGCCTACGTTTTGAACTTATAATTTTTACTTTCTTCACAAAATGCATAAACTAACTCCTTTCCCCAAGATATCGATCTATTGCAAATCATCACTGTACATTATATGTATGTAATAATCTAACAAGAGTAAAATGTAGACTCACCAACATTGTTGTATACCTTACTTTTATTTATTTTTACATATGAAAAGGTAAGAGGCCAAAAACTTGCAAAATACTTGATAAAAAAAACAAAATAAACATAAAAACAAACACATCACTATGAAACACAAGGGGCCAAGAAACTGAGTCCATCTAATTCCAGGAATAACACTGCATATATTTGTGGGAGGAGCTTCATGAAGACACAGTATTTACCTTTCTTATTGACAGGAGAAAACGTATATATGAGTCTCTTAAGACAGTAAGGAGTTAGTAAAACATCAACTTTCCTAAAAGCTCAGAAGTCATTGCCTGCCTTTTACAATAAACCCCCCACTCCCACCCTCCCCTCGAAAAAAGAGAGAGAGAACCAGTGACCTGAAAGGGAGTCATTGTTTACCAGCTTCCAAAGGGCAGGATCCACGAGAGCACAAGGAAGCAGTTGCGCTGACAGATCTGTACGATCAGTCCTGCAAAGACGGCTGAAGTATGCCTGGTATATTAACACATCTGTTTCATAAGCGCTAAGGGAATCTTTGCTACCCAGGCTGCTTCCAAACATGTACGAGCAAAGGCGTGCAGCTGCTGACGACAGAATCGGTGTTTCGCTGCAGAAAGAAATCACCATGGACGATACCAAATTCCCTTTAGGAGCCAGCTACAGGCATCTATCTCAGAGGAAAAGCAAAGTTTATTTTATAGCAATGTCAAAGGGGTCATTGACTAATCAAAATTTCAATGATAAAGGACTGTGTTTAAGTCAATAGATATTTTAAATGGCTGTGCATTGGCCTTCTGGGCCAGTGCGATGATGAAGTAGAAAGAACAAAGGACTCGGAGCCAAGACATGCAGACCAAGATGCTGCCAACTGTTAAGCCGGGTGGTGGCCCACCAGATGGGCCTCCAAGGCCCTCTGTCTGGGCACTTATCATGCAGAACAAAGGCCAACCGCCAGCACGTCACCCTCATTCATTCAAAAATGTCCTAATACCCTGACTGGTGTGGTTCATTGTATTGGATGCCAGCCTGAGAATCAAAGGGCCACCAGTTCAATTCCCAGGCAGGGCACATGCCTGGGTTGCAGGCCAGGCCCCCAGTAGGGGGTGTGCAAGAGGCAAACACGTTGATGTTTCTCTTCCTCTCTTTCTCCCTCCCTTCCCCTCTCTAAAAATAAAAATAAATAAAATCTTTTTTAATTCTTAAAAAAATAAAATTTAAAAATGTTCTAATAATTGGAAATGACATAATGACGTTC